AATTCTTCTGAATTGGGGTTTGGACTTTGTGGACTTGACAGTTTGATTGAAAGTGATTATTATTATTTTTTATGCTGATAAAGTTTAAAGAAGGAATCAGTTGGGGATAGTGGAGGGAAGGACCCTGACTCATTCGTACCACATAAGTTTTGCATGAGAATGGTCCTGAAGCCATTCCTGATTATCTCCAGATTGGAAGAATATGGTAGCTGGTGCTTCAGATCTTCAGATCTTTTTCTGAAAAATCCAGCCTTTCCTACAACTGTACAGTGAGAGAAGATCAACAAGTCATGAACCCTGTTCATTTTCTTTTTTTTCCTGTCAAATAGCTGCTGCTAAAGCCTAAATTTAGTGGAGTTGAAAAAATCAAAACTATTGGGAGCACTTACATGGCAGCATCTGGACTCTGCGTTGTACCAGGTCAAGAGAATAATCTGGTAGGTCTCCTTTTGAAGTGTTAATTCCTTAAAACAGTGTTTCTAACCTTGACAACATTAAGATGTCTAGACTTCAACTCCCAGAATTCCCCAGCCAGCATGCTGACTGGGGAATTCTGGGAGATGAAGTCCACATATCTTAAAGTTGCCAAGGTTGAGAAACACAACCTTAGAACATTATGTATTTTCATATTTAAGAAAAAAAGACCTGCCTAGATTTCAGCCGACTTCCCCTGTGGCCCTAGGATATATCAGAAAGTTCTTGTAAGATGCTTAAGTTCAATGACCAAGTGTCCTAGAGTTCATGCCTGGTAGTAGAATAGACATTCAATAGAGCAAGTTAAAACTTTCAAATATTTTGGCATAGCATTTCATGCCTCTGGGAAATGCGGGATACACTTGGATTATATTGTCCAAAGTGCTTAAAAATCAGCAATAGCTATACAATCCAGAAGTGCATTATTTATACCAGAATGCTAAAGATATTTTCAGCTAAACTTGACACACAGCTTTTATTAGGAGTCCAGCTGGTAACGTAGAGCTCTTTTAATTCCTTGGAGAAGATACAGTCAGAATTTTTAAGGAATATAATCCTAGTGGCACAATATGTGCCTGAGGGGGGTTCTCTGCTAGAAGGCTGGACCAGTCAAAGGAGAGAGCTCTGAATGGATAGGTATTTTCTCTTGCTGGCCTAAGTTACTGTTCTTCCATGTGAGTTTTGACCTTTGTTGATCATGCTGAATCATCTTGAAGATGATCTTTCCCACAGAAGTTGCAATCGCATGGGTTTTCCTAGGATGCGTTTTTGATGAAGGTAGACAGTGACAGTGCTTGTGTGCACTAAGATTCCACTCTGAAGCGAAGGGACCATTGAATCTACAGCCCACGTTCTGTTGTATTGCTGCTTTTACCAAGACATTATATTTGATAACTCATATTTTAGTAAAACGTTAATAAAGTTTCCAGGCCATTCAGATTTTTTTATATACAGTTGTTGTCGGATTTTTTTTTTGGAATGTAGCAAAGTTCTGATTTATTGTTCGTAGAGCATGCTGTGATTTAATCATCTTGTTAGTACAACTGTGCCTGCATTTATTTTTGTTTATATTAGTATGTGTTTGTTGCCTCTGAGGAATTCTGGTTGTTGACCACCATGATGTTTTGCTGTTATGGGCAATGATCCACTGCACGTGCCTCTCTTCCCACCATTTCTTTAGGATCAAGAAAAATTGTGCGCTCAAATTGGCATCATGGTGGAATTTGCAATGGCCTTGATGACAAAACTAGATGGCATTAATCGCCATTCGTTCAACAATTTCCGTCTCCGTGTTGGTAAGTTTGGGAAGAGGTGGGCTTCTCCCAAACCTCAAGAATGGTACACTATTTTTTCCTAGCATTACACTGATACTTTTCTTCCAAGTTTGGATCCATCCTGTGTATGCTTTATATCAATATTTTCTCCTTCACCTTCTTGTTCATGCAGGCATAAATCATGGGCCGGTAGTAGCTGGTGTGATTGGTGCTCGCAAGCCCCAGTATGATATTTGGGGAAACACTGTCAATGTTGCCAGCAGGATGGAGACTACTGGAGAACTTGGGAAAATCCAGGTAAAGAAAGAAGGGAAGTTTGGGATGAACTTCGCTAGAAGGAAACCTGCACAGTAACTGTTTTCTGTGGATGGATGGGAAACACCGTTCTCTCTTTCAACTTAATGGTCTTTGAATGAGGTCCTTTGATGGCTTCCCCAGCTGCCTGAGACTCAGTGAGAACTTTACGAGATTGCTAGCCTTTTAAGAAGGTGCTCTCTTTGTTGAACTCCTCTCCCATGGAAGCCAATACCAGTTTACTTAGCACTTTAATTAAAATGGAACTGTTTCAGAAGAGTGATTTTATCATACTGGAAATAAACTAGGTTCTTTTCTTCATTTTTATGTATTTGGTTTAGGTTGATCTGGAAGGGTTTACCAGGTGATTTACACAAAATAATGAAATATAATTCTGTAAGAGTTTCTCCTCTCCCCCAGACAAATAGTTTGTAATGCTTTGTTTATTTGTGACACTTAATATAGTATATCATTGCTCTTGGGTCTTATTCAGGGATCCACACCTCATCAGGTGTCCAGGAATAATCTACAGAACCTCTTGTCCTACTTTGCTCTTCTTGCTGTCCTTTGTCTTCACCTGCTCTCTCCAAATGCATAAGCAGAGAATATCAAGAATGAAATGCAGTGGCCTAAATCTTATTCTCTCTTTCTGGGCAGGCAGGGAAGGCAAATAAATCACCAGTAGCAGGAGTCCCAATATTCTTCTGCCCAGGAAAATCACAAATCTTTTTTGTTCAGGATAGAGATAAGTTCAGCAAAGCCACGTTGCTCTTACCTACTGGAAGATACTGTTGTCCTCTGCCATAGCTGTTGTCATTTGTTTCTATGATCTGCCTAATATTTAGCTTTGACCATGCTGGTAAATGTAGCAATTTTATAAATTGTTCTGGAAGCTTCAGCAAAGAAGCAGGGTCCAAAACCAGTCAGATGTTCATTGGGGATTTTGAATGGTCTCTCAACTTTTGCTTGTTTCCTGCACAGGTTACAGAAGAGACATGCAAAATACTAGAGAGCTTGGGATATGCCTGCGAATGCCGAGGACTGATTAATGTCAAGGGAAAGGGAGAATTGGTTACTTACTTTGTCTGCACCGATACAGCCAAATCCCAAGTTTTTTGACTTGAACAAGAAGATGCTGAGAAATTGTGGTCAAAATATCCTGTTGGGCTTTGCTTTTATTTTAAGCAACTTTCTTTCGGTGAGGCCTGAACATGTTGTCTCCTTCCGTAAAGGAGTTTATGCCAAATGGCTGTCAGTGCTGGCATTTTGCATCTCAAGAGAAGAGCGCAAGAAGTTCTTGAAAGATGTTTACAGTTGGGTCTGTCCCTCTAGCTGATGCCAATTTGTTTCCTGCCACAGAGGGCACGGGATTCCTCTTCTGCATGCCTTTCGTGGACTCGCAGCTAAGCAGATTCCTTGGTTCAATGCCCTGCTCCTGTCTCATCCTTGCCTTTTCATGTGGATAGATCTGAGGAGCGCTATAGCACTGCCTTGAGCAAAAAGTGGATTACAATAGACAAGACTGGAGGCTGGTCATGGGAGGTCTTTTTATGTGGACCTGCTGTCTGCCCATCAAGCATGCGTTCTGCCATTAAACGGTGGCTCCTCCTTTCATCGTACGCCACAGGCCACCCTCAGACCTGCTGTGGGTCCCACAAAATTGCACTTCCAGTTTTCTCCTCAACTAAAATCTCAAGACACAAAAAATACTTTTCTTGCAGTCATCCTATACTCCCACAGAATAAATTAGACCCGCCTGCTTTCATCACTATTTACCTCATTTCTGTTCTAGAAGGAATAGCATAAGGGGGGACTTCCCCAGCTGATGCAGATTTATTTTTCTGGAACTTACTTCTTGGGCTTGAGAGCAAACTTCTGCGGCTTAGGGTCTTAAATGTTCTTTGGGTCGAAGGACTCTTGAGTAGCATTTCCCCCCCTTCTGTTTGTCTTCGCAAGGTGCCGTTTTATTTCCACAGCCAGTGCGGCCTATCGTAATATGGAAATTCCTGCATTGTCGGTGTAAAATTCAGGTTCTTTCTTATTCAGCAACCCTACTTATATAAATCATGGTCAGTTTCTACTACAGCCCCACTACTAACATAGGATGATGCATGATGGGTTGTGGTGCACAGAAGCTATCAAGTCATTTTCTTTTTTCTTTTTCTTCTTTTCTTTGTCCCTCTGTCAGAAACACCCTCAAAGTTTTGAGTGGTGTAGAGCATTATGGATGACGTTCGTACCTCATTGGCAGCTTCTGTTCAAACACTGCACAGTAAGTAAAACTGCCCATATAATTTTATCTTAAATAGGTTTGCAACAACAATGAACAAGAAGTCGGCCAGTTACCGTGTCTGTGCCAACCTTGTCTATGCCTCTTCCTATACCAATTATTATTATTCATCTGTATTCTTACTTCAAAGTAGGATTCTGCTTTTTGTGTCTAATAGGAATTCTGAAAGATCCTGTACATTTTTAAATAGGCTGTTTTAAGGTGTTACTAATCTTTACCATCAGCTGAAGATAGGCATTGACCCTGTGTGTAGCAACACAAACAAAATTTAAGAGAACTGTGATGCATTTTAGGATTCAGTCTGGAAAATGTTCTTATAGCACAATAAGAATGCTTAGTCATGAAATAAAATTATTGTCTGAAAGAGTCCCTAGCAATGCTACGTTATCTACAAATTGCAGTTTCTTTTAGATGGAACTATGGAATTAGATACAAAACTGCAAAAAACATTTGGTTCGGCACCTCTGATGTTGCCCCAAATTAGGGCAGCCAATTGAACGGAAATTACCTGCTTGTGCATAAGCTCTAGAAAATGCAGAAACAAACGACAGCATTTATCTAAGATTATATCTAAAGTATTAGTCACTTACGTTGGGTAGTACTGTTAACAACTGCCTGTATTTTGCTGTGTAATTATATTTCTGCTAGATACATTTGTGTAAGGCATTTTAGATGTAAAGGTATATGAACTTGAAGAATTTGGAGTGTTCTCTAGAGTGAATCTGTTAATGAAAACTGGTCTTACCATTTTAAAACAAGTTTCAGAGTGCAGTTCAATTGACTGCAAATATTTTCACCATGCTAAGCCCTGTGTGCACCCTTATTGTGTTCATTATAATTACTGTGTAATTAACACGTGGAGGATGAATTACCTATGTTTCATGATGGGAACAAACTTCTAGTGAGGTCTTACTATAGATATAGGACTTTTAGAAAGTCTTAGGTGATTAGAGTAGGTCATATTAGAGAGTAGTAAGATAGGGTGGTCCTGGATAGTATTAAAAAGAAGGTTGTGCAACTGTCTTTTTGTAATAACTGCAAGTTAATGTGAATTATTACTTTTAATTTCTTTTTTATTGTACATTTATTACATGTTGGGTTTTTAAAATAAAATGCAGAATTTAGAATGTTTTGGCTCAAAAGTTCCCTGCTGTCTAACATTTGCAATCATTAGGTTTGGTACCTGCTCTCAGATGTATCCCAACAGAAACTTTTGTGAAATCCATATTTTCTATTTTGCATTATATTGTGATCCAAGGCAACTGGTCTCAGCTATGTTGCTTCAACTTTTAAGTTTTCCATATTAAAAGTTTAATGTTATTTGATGCTATTTTCTCTGTAATCTATATAAAAATATACTTAAGAATCAGACCGTGCAAATACCCCTAATCCCTGCAATACGACAACTATCGAGAATAGGGACAGAATTAAAAGGCAGAGAGACGACTTTACTACCACAAGTAAAACCTTTCAAATCTGCTCTTCCAATGGGTGGGGCCTTTCTCATAGCTACTCATACCGTGGTTACCTCATGGTTGGATTCTTACAGTGCACTCTTGAAGAACTTCAGCTGTCCCAGAACGCTTTGCTATGCCCGTGCAGCACCTTTGTTGCACAAGCTGCATGGATTGCCAGTTGGCTTATGGGTGCAATTCAAGGGGCTGGTTATCACCTATATGCAACCTGGGGCCTACCTTTCGGGACTGCCTCTCCCTTGTAATGCCTGCCTGTCCTGGGTGTTCCGAGAGCATCGGCTTCCTTCAAGTCCCTCCAACTGACCAATGTCTTCTAGCGAGACCCAGGAAGTGGACCTTCTCTGTGTGGCACCTGTCCCTTGGAACAATGTTCCCCCAAAGAACTGCATCGCTTCCGCCTTGCCCATTATCAAGCGCTCTTTAAACAGCTGGATTTTCCTGCAGGCATTGAGTTAGATGGATGGTTGGGCTCTGACAGCTGTGAGGAATTTGGAATGGGGGGGAGGGGGGCAGGTGTTGCTGCCTCCATGAACACTGTCCTTATCGCTGGAGTCATTTTTTATTTTTATTTTGTAAAGCTGCCTAGTCACCTGGAATAGGTGGCCTCCAGATGATGATGATGATGATAGCAACAACTAGTAATAGTAGTAAATATTCAAACGTCACCCCATTGTTCGAAACAAATGGTATTCTAGACGCAGCTATCTGCCTACTGCTAAGGATGTTCCTGTGTAATACTTGATGGTTTGCAACTGAATTTGTGAACAAATTCTATTGCCAAAGCATTATACGTAAAGTGATGTGAAATCCTGGTGACATGCATGTTGAGGGAAGTTTGAATATTTTTTTGCCAGTTCCTTTTTCAGCCTTACATAGCCTGGCAAGGCCTGGATAATCAGAACAAGATTTATGTGAACATAATATGGGAAACTTTAGGTGTGGGTGTGCTTATTCATACCCTAAGTGAAGAAGCAATAAGGGCCATGGAGGTTCCCAGCATATTCAGAAACCTTTCAAACCGTCACCTTCTTTGCTCCCACCTGCCATGATCCAATGCCTGTATTTTACTTACAGCATAGCTCTTAGATCTGTAATTAGAATAGGACCAGTATGGTTTTAATAGTTTTATTAGGAATTCAAATATTTAACAGATAGAAGTATACAAACAGCCTGTGCGTGCAATGGGGCAAATTTTACCCCCCTGCCACTGAAGAGGGAATGTTTAATATCGACGGTTCATACAGCAACTGGTTCACCTTCATTTTCAATGAGAATGACAGCCTTTGGAGAGTCTTGGGTATCTGGAAAAATATGAAAGGCCACTGATGATCTTGCTTGCTTGGTTTGGGAAGCTGGTCAAATTATTTTCAAACTAGTTGTTAGCACGGATTAGCCATTCTAAGTACGGGCCAGCTCAACCCTGCTTAGGGTCTAACCTTGTCTGAGCTCAGAAGCTAAGCAGGGCTGGGCAGGGTTAATGCTGAATTAGGATAAACTGGGAGGTCACTAGACATCCTGAAAGGAGATAATGATGAACCATTTCTACACTGTTGCCAAGAAAACTGCTCAGGTATGTGGACAGAACCACCAGGAGCCTTAACTCTTCTCAAGGATATGGTTACCTTTGCATGTATCTATTTAAAAATAAGCCCCTCTGAGTTCTGTGGGATTTACAGTAAGTGGACATAGGGTTTCATGCTCCATACACTTACGGTACATTGCCCACTTTCAGAAGTGCTAAGGAGTTAATGAGTAATGTGTGGAGAAAAGCCACCAAACTCTGATTCAACCCCCTGACCCCCATTCAAACAGAGAGGTATATTCTAAAGCTGTGACTGATTCTTTTCTGCGTTGAGTAAACTTTACATGCTACTTCACAAGATATGGTTACCATAGTAAAGCCGTTCATAAGCAGCCAATGGTTGTCAACATCATGATTCCTCACCCTCTGTGAAATCCACAAAGCCGCCCATCTTTTCTGATGAAGGGAGCGAAATCCCCATTGCTTTACGGATTCCGTACGTGCTCACAATGTCACCTGGAGCCACCTGTTGCGCAAGCTCTTTCAGGTTGTTGGTTACCCTTTCCGCTGAAAAAGTGACAGAAACAGACTGATGTAAGGCTACTTAAAACTTTAAGGCTACTTAAAACTTTATCTTCAACAAAAAAAAAATGGGATGCATAGGGACATAATAAAGATGAAAGCAAAATGCGCTGAACCGTTTTCCCCCTTGATACATTTTCACAACCTGGTGATTCCACAAAGTGGCCAATGGAAAACCATGCTACAAAATGGCATTTCATTAGTAAATAAATATGCCCAAATTGTGCTCTGATGATAAATAGTCTAAGTAGTGCAATGTGAAGATTTGAGGGTAAAATGCTTTATATAGAACTCAACATTTACAAAACTATACAAGTTCCAATTATCAGAGTCGCCTGGCATGCGAGTGGCTATATAAATTGAGCATCAACGGCTAGCAGCTTTTCAAAGTTTACACTATGTGTTAAGAGCATAATATCCTTACCCAAATGCATCTCCTTGTAAGATGGGCCCAAAAGACAAATCATATTAGGTGGAGGTCTTGTACTCAACCGTTCATTTTGAGCATCTTGAAGGTCGCAAATCAATTTTGTGGTTTCATCAAGTTTTCTCTGAAATATTTCTGCTTCTATGAAGTCAAATATGAAGCAGCGGGTCACTATTAATTGAGCTGGGTTTTGCCACAAAGCCTTGCGAAGTAATGCTAACTCACCTTCAGAATCAAATTCCTCAGCAGACACCCCAAAATTCGTTACTGCTCTCAGTGCTGTAAGCCTCTCCTTGCTTAGGCAAGCGTCAAACTTGGCTGGATCTGTTTCTATAATCTAGAAATACGAGCAAATATATGGTCTTACAATCCAGGGAAAAAATAAATTTATACAACACACTTCATCCAATATCAGTTCAAAACATGGATGTATAAACTGAATGGTTTAAAGAAACCAAGTTAATTCTCCATCCTCTCAAGACAGTGCAGGCCTTGTGCTACCCAAACACTGCGGACTTAGCCAGCCCGCTGTGATATCATAGAATAGTGTGTCCTCAACTTTTTATGAGCTGACCACTAAACATGTTCAGAGCTTCCAAAGTCCCATTTTTTTGCTAGGAGAGCATGATGGGCTATGAACGAGTTACCTCAGTGATGAATCCATACCAGAAAAAGTCTGCCTTCCTACTTGCCACAAGTCTGAAAGCAATTAATGTGCTCTTTTGAAGGTATTTCAAAATACGGTCATTTGAAGGTATTATAAACACTTAAGTATTTAAGCTTGTACTGGGGAATGCTGGATCCTTGACTTACGTGGTGGAGTTCTGAGAAAAATTGGCAGTGAAAACTCAGTGAAACCCAGCCCAGTAGCCTGAGGTATCAAGCCGATCCAGAGGGATTGTTCCCCAGGCCACACTCCCTTTTTTTTTTGACCCCAAACAAGTGGAAGGAGACATCCTTAGTGCTAAGGCCTGCGAAACAACTTCCTTTCAGCTGTGCTATATGAGTACAGTGACCATATTTTCTTGGAAAAAATAAAGGACAGACCTGAAAAAGGAGCAAATCTGAAAGAGGTTCATAAGGATATTTTTTTTAAGTTGTATATATTTATGACCTTGCTTTACAAAGGAAAATTCAAGAGCAAAACCAAGGAAACTTTACAAAAATGCATGTTCAAATAAAAATATCTGAAGTCAAACAGTAGATGTAAATTTATTTTAAAACGAAAATTCCACTGCCATATTTTTCACATGAATGTGAAAGACGGGGCATTAAGTGGTACCATTTGTACGGTAAAAGTTAAATGACCAAAATCAAGGGCAAAAGTGACTTTGTGAACAATAAATAAATCCAAAGGACAGCTCTTTGAAATAAAGGACTGTTTTTTATAATAAAGGATATATGGTCACTATATCCATGAGCCAACTGAAGAGGTGAAGCAGAGAACTGTGCAAATGAGGAGCCCGCTGGCTGAAAACCCCACCAATCCTAGAGTGTTTATAACCACATTTATAACTATGTCACCTCTATCTCTTTTGTTGTAT